TTCTTCATTTACTCTGTGTGACACATGGTAATGCACACACCTTCATATGTATGGCAAACTGGCTGCTCAGTTTACTGCTAAAATAGCAGCCATTGATCCATATTATGAGATAGAACAACACCCCCTACTGGCCTGTATAGACAAAGACCTGCATGGACATTTGTTTACCTGAGGTTTGTTATGGATGAATTTAATACCTACCTGCAAAGGCGTCAAGTAACAAAGCACAAATACATTATTTACCTAAGTAGAAATTTTGTCTATCTATGCTTTACTGGAGTAATCATTTTTAGACAACTTATTACTCCGACTACTTTTCGTGCAATTATCTCTTCTTTCTACTCTTTACACTGGATAAATGATCTAGAAATAAGTAAAAATGTCTTTAATTAAGTGTATTTACACTTAATTTGAGTGGGTAAATGAGATAGTTTGCCAATGGAATGAGTACTGTTAATCTTAAAATAAGATAATTTGATAAAATGCACTTGAAAAAAGACAATTCAATTGTGTTTTCTTATTTCAAATCTAAGTCATCTTTTATCTCCTCAATTCAAGAACAAATGCACTTATTTTAAGAAAAAATGACTTATCTCGATTTCATTTTTTCCAGTGTATATTCTAAAAATAGACTCGTTAGTTTTGTTTCATTTAAGCTCATTTTCATTAAGGCCTGTTGGTATTAAAAAAATGAAAACCATCAAAAATAATTTGTTTCATCCAGGCAATTTATTTCTTTGTAGTTGGACCACAACTTGTTGTTCACCATATATCAGATTAAATAGTTCTTCATGTTGATGCAAAGTTAAATGTGACACTGCACTGCAAAAAATAGAAATCTCAATATGTTATTTTTTCTTAAAATAAGTGTGTTTTTCCTTGATTTGAGGAGGTAAGTAAGACACTTTGCCAACGGAACAAGACAATTTCCTTTTAAAATAAGAAAAAACTATTTTATCGTCTTATTTCAAGTAAATATTATCTAACTATCTTATTTTAAGAGTAAAAATACTCATTCCATTGGCAAATCATCTTATTTACCTGCTCAAATTAAGGCTAAATATACTTATTTAAGCAATTTTTTACTTATTTCTGGATTGTTTTTGCAGTGTGCTACCATTAGTTATAAAACTTAGAAAATTAAGTCTAAGGAAGTTACAAATGTTCCTTTAATAGGGTAGCGCAGTAAAGCTCGAGCATGAGAATATTTAGAATTTTAGAACTGAAAGTGATTCAGTCAAACAGAATCTTAAATGTAGTATAACACAATTTCAAATGTCTGCTTATATACTACATTTAAAAAATAAAAATGATCAACAATGAGGCTGCGTCCTGAGCCCCCTGCTGTTCACCTTAATGACACACGACTGCGTCCCCAGGTTAACCACCAGTCACATCCTAAAGTTTGCAGACGACACCACAGTGGTGGGCCTCATCAGAGACGACGACCTGGACGACAGAGAGGAGGTGGAGCAGCTGGTGGAGCAGAGATAACAGCCTGATCCTGAACGTGGAGAAGATGAAGGAGATCATGGTGGACTTCAGGAAGAACCGGCCTAACCACACTCCACTGCTCATCAACAGCTCAGCTGTAGAGGTGGTCANCATTTAAAATAAGAAAACACAATTGCATTGTCTTATTTCAAGTGCATTTTACCTAAATATCTTATTTTAAGAGTAAAAATACTCATTTAATTGGCGGATCAGCTTATTTACCTACTCAAATTAAGGGCATTTTTACCTATTACCTATTTCTAGATTGTTTTTTTCAGTGTATGTGTAATTCTCACTGCAAAAAATCTAAATCTAGATAAGTCCATTTTTTCTTAAAGTAAGTGTATTTCTTATTGAATTAAGGAGGTAAAAGAGACATTTTGCCAATGGAACAAGACAATTTACACTTAAAATAAGAAAACACAATTCCATTGTCTTATTTCAAGGGCATATTATCTAATTATCTTATTTTAAGACTAAAACTACTCATTCCATTGGCAAACTATCTCATTTACCTACTCAAATTAAGGGTAAATACACTTAATTTAAGAAATTTTTACTTATTCTAGATCGTAATGATCCTGGGTTTAAATTTTAGGTAACGAGACGACATTGTTGGTTTGATAATCCACTTCTGCTTCATCAGCAATCAGCTCTTTGCCTCCAGGTGTTTTCTGAACAGCTGCGTTGTTCCGCCAGTAACAGCTATAAGATGCATTTACCCCCAAAATGAGTCCAGATTAAAGCTTTTCATTAGATTCAGATTTGTTTCTACTTTAATCCATGCAATCCAATCATCCACCACCACCAGTGAAAAGCAAAAGGAAACTAAAACACTGATTATTTGCGCAAAAAGTGGTACAACGACTGCACAACCAGGGGCCCCGCAGGCATGGATGGACTGGGAATCCAGGGTGTTCCAATCACTGTTTTTCTCGTGATAACGAGATAATAAACTTGTTATTTCGAGAAAACAATTAATGGTTTAACCGTGATAACGAGATAGTTACGTCATTATCTCGAGAAGGCAAAGGGAACAAAAATGTCCGCTCTAGGCTTCCGTAGTTCTTTACAACTGTGCATACGTGAAAATATTCAAATTCCTTGGAAACTATTTTCAATTCCACTTTTTGTTTATTTATATTATGAATAATAAAAGTATAGAATAAATTGAAAAAAAATCTAGATCTAGTTGGTTTTTGTATTTGTAAGCATTAAGAAAAGGCTCCTGTTATTTCGGGGAGACGTTTCTGACGCCTGTCCTAAATCTGGAAGCTTAAAACACCTTAGTCAGCTCTGCGCACAATCTATGAGTATCGTCGCCTTCCTTTATTTCATCTATTCCCTGCTTCAGGTCAAATAGGATATCAGAGCAGAAACATGTAGAGAAGTTGTACCTATATCGCAGAGCTTCATCGCTACCTTCCTGTTGACCTGCAAAGAAAAACAAGACCTTGGGTTTGAAGAAAACACTTTGAAAAACTGTAATCTACATTTAGAGGTGTCAGTACCCGCGTCATGATGGTGATGATGATGAAATGGAGCAAACCGCCGGCTAACATCGCCCCGATGTTGGAGGCGTTGCTTGAGAATGAATTTTTGGCCAGAAACCCTCCTACTATCACCCTGAACACCACCAGGAAATGTGTCAAGCCAATAATCAGCATTATCTAAAACACCAACGACAAAACAAAACAGAACAAAAGTGTTACAGCTGTTATATTTCTGCAGGATTTATTGCTAATCTTAATATCTTCATCCACATTTCTAACACTAAGGGTCTGATCTACTAAGAAGGGGCCGCTCATTCTCCTATCCTGGCTTCTCTTCATTGGCTTCCTGTTAAATCCAGAATAGAGAAATATCAGCTGTGCTGCTGCCATCAACACCTTTGTTTCTAGATGTTGGAGCTTGGCCTGTTTTCCAGTGTAGTCCTGTTTCTCTG